ACAACATATCACCATAAATGTGGTGGAATGCTTTCTGAAAGTATTTTGCATCTTTACCCTGAAAATAATTGTACTTGTAATGAAAGCCATTTATTTGTTATTGTGTAATATTGAAAAGTTTCATATTTGTCCAATGTCCTGTTTATAAGGTGACCTACATATGAGACACTGTTGCATTGTCCTTTCACAATCTACATTTTTATTCTTAATAATAAAAATATAACTCTCAATTATGGGTCCAACATTTTTAATGTACCAGTGTCAATTCTGTTCAAATATTTGCAGAATTTAATTTCTCAGACTTCATGGATTTAGTTGCATAAACATATTGGAAACCAAATACAGAATTGTGGAGCTTAATTACATATTCTGTTAAAGCATCTGTTTCCCCTACCAACTTGCTTTTTTATTAATTATTATAAGCTCAGATAATCGCTGTCCTTTTGTAAGAAGAGAGAAATTTAACAAATAACATAGTTATTTAAAAATATACTCTGGTTTATAAGACATGAAAATGTACAGAGAAAGGAACTAGTAAGTGCCAAATCAGTATCTGTAGCATTTATTTATAAGAATACATTTCTAGTAACCTAAACTGAATATTAAGGAATGATTAGAATTTATATATATATATAATACATGCAACACATATATCACACCATTATAAATTGCTCTACCAAAGAACTTTTAATAACACTAAATCAGCTAAAATAGAAGGTTTTGCAAACAGAAGAACAAAGAAGATAAAAATATCACATATTTTCTGTAAAATGCAAGATGAATATAAATTAGGATTTCAGTGCTCTAAACACTATCCTATAATGTCCATAGGGCACGGAGTTTTAGTTTGGGAAGAGAAAGGGTTTTGAGACCCTGATAACCAACAATGCTGTTCTTTATGACAGACCCAATTTTCTCTTCACAGGAGATGGAAGACTTTGTGCAGAGCTCTGGAGAAGAGGGAGTGGTGTGTTTTCCCTGGGGTCCATGATCAGTAACCTGACTGAAGAAAGGGCCAATGTGATTGCATCAGCTCTTGCCCAGCTGCCACAAAAGGTCAGAAATGTGCCCTAAGGGCAGGCAACCGCTGAATGAGCCTGCTAAACTCTGCAAAGTGTCTCATTACACATATTCCTATGTGAAGTGGAGATACTTATGATATCTTTAATTTTCTTCAGACATCCCTTAAACTCTTCCTTCACAGGTCCAAAAATAGCACAGAGTATATTTCATTGTAGATAACTTTGACATTGACATTTTGATCAGAAATGTACCTAACAGGTGACTGTGAAACCTTGGAATACTCAATCATTTAGCAGGCAGATAAAGAGAAATCACTGAATTCTACCCTGCTGTTGGCTTCTTTGCCTTGTGGGATTGTGAGGCCACTGTGTACACTAAATGTATTCAGACAGAGCTGAGTTTTCATTACTGACTGCACTACCTCAGTAACAATAAGGGAATACTGAAACACATCTTAAGAGCATTATAAAGTTTAGGATTCTCATATAATCCATGCCTCTTTACATTCCATAATTTGTATGTAGGGGTTTTTAAGATACTAATGAGGAGCCTATTAGGAGACAGAAGTCCAGAGCTCACCAAACATGAACCCAGCTATGCACTCATCTAAGTAGATTTAGAGAAACAGAAAAATTAATCTGCCCCTCACTACTGGACCCTAGCAGTGGCTTCGCAGAAAGATAGAAGCAGAAAAATTGGAGATGGATCCTGTTCTGAAGGCACCTGCTATACTTTATAAAAACATAACTCCACAGGCCTGTGATCCTAACACATGAGTGCAATTCCTCTGGACTGAGGATGGAGATGGCAGTACAAGGAGGAGTCATTTCAAAGCGAGCCTGACACGTGATGGAGTTCCGATATCCCCTTCTATAGGTAATAGTAGGAACTACATTTCTGATATATACAAGACACCTTTGAGGTGGTTCTCTTCCCAAAAGGAAGCCAAATTCATCAATTATGTGAAGAATTGCTTCCAGATGACTGACCAGCAGGCTATTCAAGATCTTTGGCAGTGGAGGAAGTCTCTTTAAGAAAATAGTTTAAAGAGTTTGTTAAAATTTTCCGTCTTATTTCATATCTGTAACAGTTGATATCTGGCTGTCCTTTTTATAATGCAGAGTGAGGACCTTCCCTACCGTGTTTGATAAATGTTGTCCAGTTTCCATTGCCAAGAATGTGTTGTCCAAAATGCCTGTTTAGCTTTTAAAGAAGGAACTCCACCCTTTGCTTGCTTTTAAGTATGTGTGGAATGTTATGATAGGACACAGTAGTAGCAGTGGTCAGACGTGGAAATGGTGGGAGACACATATACATGTGAAATAAACTTAGTATTTTAATAAAGTAAAAAAAAACACCTTTGAACTCTTGGTATTCAGCAATTACTTTTTAGCTTTCTAGCTGATAAAACCCTCTAGTAACTCCCTATGTTAATATCACAAAGAGAATCAGAAATTACTTTACCTCTCCTAAAGCAAACAGAAATGGTACACTCCAGTTTATGAGGATAAATACTCCAGTTTATGAGGATAAATTCAGATTTCTAACATCAGTACCTTATTTTGGTAGCTGACATGGAAATGATCTGGCTATAGTAGTAATCAGCATTAACAGCTGTCAATACTTTCAAATCATCGTGGAAAACCTAATAGTCAGTTAAATAAAATTTAGCGTTATCACAATAATGGATTTTTCAGACACTGTATGCTTATGAACTGACTCTTCCTATATTTAAAGAAATTCCAATTCTAGCAGGAGTGATACTATTATGGTTTCATTTCAAAAATGTATCTTGAGATTTTTATATAACAAATTAAAGGTAGTTTCTCAGTGCTAACCTATTTTGTTTCTCACTCAAATTAAAAGATGACAAAATCTCTGGGCCGGAGCAATTGCGTAGCTGGTGGGGCCACCACCTGGCGTGCCAGCATCCGATGTGGGCATTGCTTTGGGTCTTGGCTGCTCCACTTCTGCTCTGGCTCTGCAGTGACGATCCCACTTCAGGAGAGCTTCCTTTCTAGAGATGCCACGTGCCATGACAGGGCCCATGTCTGCTGCAGCATCTCTGATGGGTGGGAGAAAGTGTGCCCTGGCATCTGCTGGCCGTGGGGATGCTCCTCCCTTTCGCGTGGGAGCATGGAGGCTGAGAGTTGCTTTGTTGTCGAAGCCAAATAAGCGACAGTCATTTGAAGCAATGCCTGGCAAGTGAGAGCGCTTGTCTGCACAGAGAGAAAAGGCTGGTTTGATGGGCGGACTTACAGCAGGTTTATAAACGCAGAGAAATGCACAGAGAAATACACAAATGGGAGGATGATGAAGAATGGCCCAGGTCCTATTACTACTCCACCCATGTGGGAGACATGGAGGAGGCTCCTGGCTCCTGGCTTAGGATCGACTCAGCTCTGGCCATTGCATTTATCTGGGGAGTATACCAGTGGCTTGAAGACCTCTCTTTCTGCCTCTTCCCCTCTGTAATTCTGCTTTACAAATGCATGAATTAATCTTAAAAATATGACACATTCTCATAAAACAACTTATGGAACAGTGGATGCAAATAAACCCTTGTTTCCATTTTTTTAAATATAAAAATGTTAATAGATTTGGAAGATGAGGCTCACATGGTAAACACAAACACATGTACAAACAAGCATACACACATATCTATATATCTGTGTATCTATATAGATTCACAGATGTATAGATATAGATAATGTAGATCACAAGTAAACAGGTAAAGAGTTTTTCTTCTTTCATTTGGATTAAGATCACCTAATAATGTCTTAGATGCTTGAATTTATCAAGCATCATCTTACCTGGGTTATATCCTATATGTGACACACCATGAATACATTCTAAACCTGACTGAATGCAACAAGAGTACAGGAGACATGAAGGCTTTCATTTTTAAATTCTCACTACTTAAAATTCTCTTGCCCTCTTTTCTTTGTCATTCCAATCCAAGGTATTTAAGAGTGATCTCCAGCCTCCTTAGAATTTTAACATGCCATAATTAGAAATCCAATTCATGAAATTGCTATTACTTTACCAAACAGGTTCTTTGGCGATTTGAAGGCAAGAAACCAGACATGTTAGGATCCAACACCCGGCTCTATAAGTGGATCCCCCAGAATGACCTTCTTGGTAAGGCTCTGGAGAACACATATTGAAAACACTAGTAACAGTCGATCAAGATGGGAGTAGTAAGACTTTGTTATTGAAAACTAAAGAATCAACCACATGGCTTTGCAATCCTTGCCCAGTCCTAGGGTAAATGCAATGAATTATAACAGTTGGCACTTTATGATTACAAAATTTGTAGGCCCAGAATCAAAGTATCCTTATTTTCAGTGTATGTACATCTCAGAGAGAATTTCTCAGTAATTTCCAGGGGGGAAGGCGTTTCACTGAAGGGTTCAGATGCTTTTGGGACACATGCCTCCTATACTGGAGTTCCTGGATTCAAGTTCCAACTCCAATTCTGATGCCCACTTCCTGCTGACTCACCCTAGATGAAGAAGGCAGCAGCTGATGGCTAAAATATTTGAGTCACTGGCAGCCACACAGGAGTTCTGGATTGAGTCCCAGCTCTTGGCTTCGGCCTGGCCCATTCCTAGCTGTTTGGTGCATTTGATGAATGAACCATAGTAAGAAGATCTCTTTCTCTCTTTGTTGCTCTAAGGACTTCCCTTGCACTGTGTGTGTAAGTGTATATGTGTATGTGTGTGTCTAGTGCTTGATCTGTTTCTTACAAACATATTAATTAAATAATAATAATCTCTTGGCTTGTCAGATGGAATCCTAATTCAAACATTACATTTGTCATCTGCCTTTTTCCCTAATATAGAAATTTACAAATACCTTTAAAATAAAGTAATAAGGAAATTCAAGATATGTATGGGCAAACTTCTACACCTATAAATCGCACTCAGTGGTGGCACGGTTTCTTGGAGAGAGCATGTTCTAACAGGCACTTGACCATTTAATTTGACACATATACAGTTCCTTTTTTCCAGAATGTACTCTTTCATACCCATTTGGCAATCTTGCATACAGTACAAGCCTCATGTCACACACCACCTCTTCCACGTGACCTTCCCTTACTCCCCAGTGCACTTAGGTGCCTCTTTCTCTTGATCTAAAAGCTATTTACATGCAGTTTCATGGACATTGATACTGTGTTGTTAGAGTACACTGCACTTTTAGTGCCTCATACTGTACGTTTTTCATTTCATTTGTAAGATTTATAATTAATAATTTTCTAAAAATCACTCAATCCCAGGTCATCCAAAAACCAAGGCTTTTATAACTCATGGTGGAGCCAATGGTGTCTTCGAGGCAATCTACCATGGCATTCCCATGGTGGGCATTCCTTTGTTTGGAGATCAACTTGATAACATTGTCTACATGAAGGCCAAGGGAGCTGCTGTTAAGTTGAACTTGAAAACAATGTCCAGTGCAGATTTGCTCAATGCCTTGAAGACAGTCATTAATGACCCTTCGTGAGTATTATTGTTTCTTTAAAATTACACAGTGTTTTCAGATCAATTTTCAGTGGAGGAATAAGGACTCAATTCTAATTTAGAACATGAACATCAGATTGAGTACAGATTTGCTTAATGCTAGAGGATAATCATCAATAATTCATTGGGAGTATCACTGTAACTTTTTGTGATGGATATATAGAATGATTATCAGAGGCTTAACGGTAGTGCACAGATTTTGAATTAGCCAATGATTGAAATGTGGAGCATCAATGAAGAAGGTTAACAGAGGATGACAAGGAAGTATTGAGTTGCAGCCAGGAAGCAGGAATGTTATAATTGTACAAACTTACGATCTTCACAGTTACAATTTTCTTTCAGCATAAGAACTCTTAAAATTGTATTTCAAAATCAATTTTGGGCCGGCGCCGCTGCTCAATAGGCTAATCATCCACCTAGCGGCGCTGGCACACCAGGTTCTAGTCCCGGTTGGGGCGCCAGATTCTGTCCCGGTTGCCCCTCTTCCAGGCCAGCTCTCTGCTGTGGCCAGGGAGTGCAGTGGAGGATGGCCCAATTGCTTGGGCCCTGCACCCACATGGGAGACCATGAGAAGCACCTGGCTCCTGCCTTCGGATCAGCGTAGCACACCAGCCGGGGTGGCCACCGGAGGGTGAACCAACGGCAAAAGGAAGACCTTTCTCTCTGTTTCTCTCTCTCTCACTGTTCACTCTGCCTGTCCAAAAAAAAAATCAATTTTGTTGTATTGGTACAAGATATAAAACCTGATATGTGGAATACATATTAATAGTAAACAATAGTGTACCAGTATATGTGCCATTATTTCACATATATATTCATATAGTTGTGTTTTAACAAATTATTCTATTTGTTTTCAGTAAATCTGCATGGAACTATCAAATCATATTTTCAGTGACACTCCAAGGTTCTCAATTTTCTATTCTAATGCTGCAGTGCTGTCACGGATAGATAGTAGCAACTAGGATTTTCAAGTTTACTCAGTTAAAACGTCCTGAACAAAAAGGAGATATTTCTTTTCCAGATGGGGATATTCTTAGGTCTATGGCTGTGGTTATTTCTGTCTTACCTGGAAGATTATAAAATAAAGATTTAACTGATTTGCAATACAAAAGATGGAATATCCTTGTTTCATAATAATTTTTGAAAGTAGAGATATTTTCTTCTAACATTATTTCGTCTAACAATAAAAATCACAGAAATTTGTAAAAAGGGCAAGAAAATGTCAGGATTCAAAGAAAGGCAATTCGCTTTCATACTTTCATAGCTTTAATCATAATTTCATTCATTAATAATTAACTTTTTTTTTGCCAGGCAGAGTTAAACAGTGAGAGAGAGAGAAAGAGATAGAAAGTTCTTCCTTCCATTGGTTCAATCCCGTAAATGACCGCTACTGCCAGTGCTGCGCTGATCCGAATCCAAGAGCCGGGTGCTTCCTCCCAGTCTCCCATGCGGGTGCAGGGACCCAAATACTTGTGCCATCCTCCGCTTCCCTCCTGGGCCACATCAGGGAGCTGGACTGGGAGAGGAGCAACCGGGACGACTACCCGGCACCCCAACCAGGACTAAAACACGATGTCCTGGTGCCACAGGCGGAGGATTATCCTAGTGAGCCACAGTGCCGGCCAATACTTAACGTTTCAACACTATACCAACTCCTGGTTGATACCAACTACTTATCAACGTTTTAAAGACATTTCCCTAACCCATATGACAAACTAGCAGCCTGTATTTAAAATTTTGAACTATTTTGAACATTGTATGTCAGGTCCATTCACAATTGCTTACTGAATAATGCCAGCTCCACATCTCAAATAGTTTTGTTGTTGGTTTTGCTTGTTTTGCTTTCACTAGCTTCCCTTTATCCAGAGGACGTAACTAATTTCAAATTCTAGACTGGGATGTTAGAAATCCTGGATCTTTCCAAACCTCTCTCTGCATCTTCACATTTTATGTATCCAACAAATTCCAGCCTATAAATGTAAGGTCTCTATAATGCCTTCTGAAGAGATAATTTTTCTTCTACATTTTCTTGACACTCATCTTTCCCATCTACATGAAAAGTATAGACCCACAATTCCTAGTTCATTCTATAAGATGATGTCCATTAATTTTCCTTCAGCTATAAGGAGAACGCCATGACATTATCAAGAATTCACCACGATCAGCCCATGAAGCCACTGGACCGAGCAGTCTTCTGGATCGAGTACGTCATGCGCCACAAAGGAGCCAAACATCTCCGGGTTGCAGCCCATGACCTCACCTGGTACCAGTACCACTCTCTGGATGTGATTGGGTTCCTGCTGGCCTGTGTGGCAATCACTACTTACCTTATTGTGAAATGTTGCCTTCTTGTTTATCGATATGTTCTTGGGGCAGGAAAGAAGAAAAAGAGGGATTAGAGCTTGTTCATGTCTAAGGCTATTAATTTACCAGAGTTGAAATCATTCCTTTGATATCAAAGACTATGTATCATTGTGTGGAAGATGGTCCTTCTCATTTGGTCAGACCTGTGCCTTCCTGATTTTTCCAGATGTTTTATTCTTGATTAAACGTTTAGAAACACACAACTCAAATTGCACAGATCCTCAAGTAATACTACTTTAATCACAGCACTGAAAAATGAGACTCACTGGAACTTTAACCTGGTGGTGGTTGAGGAGTGAAGCCTGAGGTGTTCATGTGTATTTCCAGAAACATCATCTATTGAATTCCATACAATCAAGTAGAACATTCGTATCCAAACCAAAGAAAACCAGAGCCAGATCCTTGTAAAGGGGGGTACACAGATTTTACCAAGATTTCCATGAATCTAAGAGAGATTCCAGGATAAACTGACCTCAACTTTAACTAACTCAAAGTGACTGTGATATTAAAAAGATGAAAAGTGAGGGTTGAGGAGAATGAGTGTGAACCTCAAGTAAGAAAAGAATTTTATGTAAAAGGAACATTAGAGAAGAATGAAGTAGAAAATCACTAAAAATGATTATCAAGGTGTGTTAGAAAAAGTCCATTTTCAATTTGACAGAATTGTGTTTTCTTCAGCAAAAACTAAGCCATGGATGACAGGTTTGCCTTTAGGGATATAGCACGTGACCCAGGGCAGATGCAAGACTGAGCAACCTTGCTCAAGTCTTTTAGCACGGTGCTTGGGAAGCTCTTTTGTACTACATGGGGTTCACAGTTCACATTTCTCATAAAATACAAAACATGTCATCAAGAAAAATTCTTTTCCACTTGGAGAGCCCTAACACTTACTAACTAAATCTGTGTAATCTTGTAAATTATTTAGTTAGAAAGTTGAGATATATTTTCTACACTGTGCCTTGAAAATGCTTGAGTTACAATGTTTGCTTTATTCAATATATACAATGCTAGAGTTCCCTCCTCCTATAGGAAGATCTTCCATTACTTCGCCCTGCCTTTTCAAATCAGAAACTTCCAACTAATTTAATAACCAGGACACTGAGGATATGGAAACCAGAAGTTTTTTTTTTTTTTTTAATGTAGTCTCCCCTCGCAATACATCCACATGCCATTGTGGATGGCATGAAAAACTACTTATCATGCACACCAATTTTTAAAACCTATTTTGAAGAAAGTTGTTTAAATGGAAAAATATCTCCATGTCTTGCTTTTAAACATTGTTAACCAAAGCGTTTGGACACAGAATGCAGATGGCAAAGTAAACAGAGAGAACAAAGAAAACAAGTGGATGACACTTTTTAGCCTGACAAGAGATATTTTTAACATACATGTGGAACAGAAGCCTGCATAAGATTTGCAAGCACTCTTCTGCACTACAAAAACATTTTAGCAGTAATTATTAATGTAACTACCTGTGATAATTATGTCCAGAATAATAAATGGACAAGTGCTTTCTTTTATTAAACTTTTCATTAAGGTATCGTTACAAGAAGTGAAACTTATACATGTCCATTAGTATGAATAATGAAGATCTACATACATTGCCAAAGCAAAATTCAAGTCTCTTTCTATATACTCATGAAGTAACCAATACAGATTCATTAATGATGTTGTTAAAATCGGGCTTTGTTTTAAAATCGAGTCAGATAAATCAATATATTTGAATATATATGTATATAAATATATAGTGGTGATCCAAGCAATTTGTCAATTTTATTTTTTGAGAAATCTTTTCACATGAAGCAAACTACATAGACATAATTAGGATATATGCAGACATGATACACTTAGCAGTGGATCATAAAAATCCAATTAAACATTAAATCTTCAAAATCATAAAGTGGTTTCTGTGTTTCCTGTTTCAATATTTATGATTACTATAAAATTCAAATGTTTTAGTTTTAAATTTTATTACAAATAGTCAAATCAAATTGATAGAATTGGAAAAACAGAACTTGTACAAAATTCTTCATTTTATTACTATCTGTGTATTTCTTGCTTATATCAAATAAACTGCTTACAGGTATGAACAGGCAAACTCCACAGAACCTGGAGGAATTTCAATAAATAATGAACTTCATCTTGCAAATGATATGTTCTTAGACTATCTCTGTCAGAGACTAATTGTATAACTATGAGACTTGTCATTTAATTTCATATAGAATGCAATGCTTATTAAAGTATATGTGATACAAATACATTAACTAGAAGTCTTCTTTGTATATTAGTAAGTGTTTTACTTAATATTATTGAGTATATTCTTTAACATAAGTTCTTAGAAGCCAACAATAACGACAGACTTAAAGAGTGGAGCCTTGGAAGAGATGTGTCTTCCTGCATCTAGCACTTTTAGTGACACTCTAGGGTCCTTGGTTGATGAAGCTAAACATTCATCCAGCTGACAGACACGAAAATATTTACAGGGTCTAGATTCAATACCACAAAGTTATATTTGAGGCAAAGGCAAAACAAGTGAAAAAGTTGGTGCAGCAAACAACAAAATCTCAAATTTCTCATTTACTAGCAGCTAAGATGTGGTAGACACCTGTGGGCACTATATCGTGTTGGGATACATATGAGTAAGAGACATAGTTTTCCCGTGGTAATAAAATTCTTCAAAGGGAGAGAATACAGAGTTTCTGAAAAGCATGAACATAGAGTTAGTTCTTGAGTGTGAAGTCACAATGCTAGTCCACTTCCCTGATGTTTACGTATGTAACCAGAATTGGCATAATGACATGATGCACTTTTGGAGTCAGTAGTAAGTATCTCAATCTGGTTAGAGAATGTCTATTCTGTTTTAAACAGAATTCTATTCTGTTGTTTAACCCTTAGATTTTCCCTTTTCTATAATATATATACAGAAGAGAGAGAGGAATTTTAGAAGAAAACCTGGCCACTTCCAAGATGAAAACTGAAATATTCCATGAAAAAAGCTCCAAAGTAAAATAAGGATTAACTAGAGAAAACTGTTTTTAAGGACAACCATTAAAATTCTATAACCAGTGTTCTATAACACACAGCAAATAGAGAAGCATTATTAGGAGAAATGTAAGAAGCAGGTAAAGCCTTTGTCATTTAACTGGGGCTTGATCCTGTTAGCTTCAGTGGTGGTCCTGTTTAGCATCAGTCCTATTGGTCAAGGGTTCAGACTCCACCTTCCCTCCCCAACCCTTGGGCAGCATGGAACTAGGGAAAGTTCCATGTACTCAGGTGGCAGTGAGAGTAGAACAGGAAAGTAAATACATGACTTGGTACTGGAACTTAGTATAGCCCTGCCAGCGTAAAATAAAACACTGAGAAAAAAAAGAGCAGCCACTGTCTCCAGCTGAGTGACTCTGAAAGAAACTTTTAGACCCAAATTAGCACTGGCAGTAACCCTGACCCCTAGTGGGATGGACTTATATTCCCGATATGCCCATGTCACCCGTGGCTGGCTGCAGGTGCCTTAAACTGTAGATAGACTAAAGCAACAGGGAGATTATATCACATGGGCCACTCATTGTCTTACCTCTGTGCTGCCCTGGTCTCTGGGCACTGTAGGGTTTGGATTTGATTCCGTTTTGTGCCAACCACAGTGATCATGAGGTTAATCATTGTATCCTTTCTTCAACATCAGACAGCACAAGAAATAGTCACTGTCAATTTAGAGGAAATTAAGGAAGGTGAGTACAAGTCACTGCTTAGGATCCAAGAGCTGAATCCTCCACAGTGAGGCCTAGTGCAAGGAGTATCCCATGGTTCCTGCCTGCAGGCCAGTGACTGTGGGTGGGGCATTCAGAACTTCCTGGCTCAAGGGTAGACTCAGACCAAGCAGGGATGGACTACTTCTTTAAGCAGCCTCCCTACCTTCATCCCAACCTCCCATTCATCCTCCTTTGTTCCAAACTTGACCTCTACAGTGGAACAGTGAGAACACACCCACCCACTCTGGAAGCCAACCTGGATTTACAGCACCATCTCACACTGAACTAGCAGCGGTGAACAAAGCTCAGAGAACAGAAAAGCCTGTTCATGTTCTAAAGACTAAATAAAGCCTATTTCTTCCAACAAGCATCAAGAACTTTAAATGGACACAAGAGCCAGGCCAAGATGGAAACCACCAAGCGGAAGCACCAAAGAATAGGAGCAAATGGTGAGGTGAGCAGGGCTCTGGGAAGCAGATCCTCAGCCGACAGCCCTTGGAAGTCAGCATTTCGAGGAAGAGGCAGGAGATGTACACTGGGATCTCCCTGGTTCTGGGGCTGGCTTTGGGTGGATCATATTTAAAGATTGATTTATTTCTTTGAAAGGCAGTGTTAGCTGGCGCCACGGCTCAAAAGGCTAATCCTCTGCCTGCGGTGCTGGCACATCGGGTTCTAGTCCCGTAGGGGCACTGGATTCTGTCCTGCTTGTCCCTCTTCCAGGCCAGCTCTGTGCTGTGGCTCGGGAATGCAGTGGAGGATGGCCCAAGTCCTTGGGCCCTGCACCCACATGGGAGAACAGGAGAAGCACCTGGCTCCTGGCTTCGGATCAGTGTGATGGGCCGGCCGCAGTGGCCATTGGAGGGTGAACCAACGGTAAAGGAAGACTTTCTCTCTGTTTCTCTCTCTCACTGTCCACTCTGCCTGTCAATTAATGTAAATGGCATAATTTCTCTGATTAAAAGATACACACTGGCTAAATGGTTAAAAAACAATTCCCATCTCTTTGTTGTCTATAAAGAGCAACTCACCGACAAAGATACCGAGAATGTGAAAGCGAGAGGAGGGAAAAAGATACTCCATTCAAACAGAAAAAAAAAGAATTGAGAAGGTATAGCCATTCTGAAATCAGAGCAAACAGACTTTAAGAAAAAAAAAACTATTAAAACAGACAAAGAAAGGCATTATGCAATGATTAAGAGATCAATTCAATAGGAAGATGTGACTATAATAAATGTATGTGCACACAATACTAGGGCACTTGGATGCTTAAAAGCAACATTAAAGGGAGACACAGACTCCAACACAATAATGATAGGGGACTTCAACATCCCACTTTCATCAACAGACAGATCAACTAGCAAAAAAAAAATCAGGAAAGAAAGAGCAGAATTAATCTAAATTACAGATCAAATGGACCTCATGTATATTTACAGAACATTTCATCTCACAGCTGCAGAATACACATTCTTTTCATCAATGCGAGGAACTTTCCCT